GCTGTAACAGAGTGGGGGCAGTACCCAAGTCATAGTCATAGTCAGAATCATAGTTTTGATGGCGGTCAGGAGTAGTAGTAGTAGTAGTAGTAGTAGTAGTAGTAGTAGTAGTAGTAGTAAAGCGCCACGAGTGCTCAAGTTCCATTTTTTGCCTCCTTTGAGCAGCCATGTGTGCTTCCTTAACGCCTGTGGTGCACTTACGTGTGCGGGCCCGTGAGTTGCTGGCTGATACTCTGCTGTATGAGGGCGTCAGCGAAGTTGGAAGAGCAGATGCGGACTGCCTTGCTAGACAGCTGTGGGGAAATACTACGGCGGACGAGCTCATGCGAAGCGTACAAGAAGTGTTGCCACCCGACACTTTCCGAGTACTGCTTGGATTCTGCTGGAAGGAGTATCCCCTGCTATATTTCACTTTGCCCAGAGACATCACTGGAGACCAGTCAAGTGTATCGAGGGCTCAGCACGGAACCGTGTTCCAAGTCGAGAACGCGGTTCAGCTTAGGCTGCCGCAGCTTATGCAGCAACACATGGCAGGAGGCCGGCACGAATTCCGGGATCCGCTGGCAGGAGCAATGCATGATGTGGGCCTCCTTGGTGGAGGCAAGGCGCAAGCAGCGGATGGCGTGAGGGTTGACTGCTTATCCCCGGAGCAGTTGAAACCTGGGCCGCTAAGTGGTCTGGGGAAACAAGGGGAGCTGAAGCGGTTGCAACGTATTTTAATTCAAGGAGATCCGAAACGAGGTAAACGATCTTTTAGAAGGGCACAACGAAGAGCTGATTTACAAGGGCGGTCTGTATACAAAGGTCGAGTGCTCATGGGCCGCAACGCAGCCGGAGTGCCTGGACCCCAGCCAAGGGCCGCGTCTGGCTCTCAAACAGGTGGGCTGGTGATGCGCCGAGAGATTTTTTCCTGGAACGTTGGAGGTCTGAGTGGAGAGACCAAAGTGGAGCTGGATTATTATTTGCAACACCGCTCCAAGGCGGACATTGTGTTTCTACAGGAAACGCATTGGATCGAGTCTGGTTCTTGGAAGCAGAATGGCTGGACGCATTTCCACTCCTCTTCTGGCAAAGCTCGGCGTGCAGGGGTAATGGTGTGCGTTCGATCTCACCTTCTGGATGAGACGAGAACTGCTTGGGCTGAGATTGTACCGGGTAGGCTCATATGGGTTCGTGCCTGTATAGGGGGCCAACAATGGGATCTGCTGAACCTTTACCAGGTGGCCCAGGCTGGTCAGGACGGCGAGACGAAGGAGTACCGCCTTAAAGAGAGGCGGGCCATCTGGAACAAGCTCCAGAGGACGCTGCGTGGTCTTCCTATTCGTTCCATGCTGGTACTGGGGGGTGACTTTAACATTGGGCTGGATTCGCTCAGTCCCAGTACTGGCGGCGGCGTCTTGTCTGGCAGCTCTGATCGAGATGTGCGGGAAGAACGTAGCAAAGTCATTCAAATCCTGCGAGAGTCCCAGATGACAGTTCTCAATACGTGGGGCAAGCCTCAGCCTACGTATCAACATCCGACAGGCAGCACGCAGATTGAGTTTCTTGTGGTTCGCAGGCATAACGCGGACAAGCTCAGCAAGAGCTCCAAGCCAGAGGACCTTGGTTTGTTTAGCTGGCGTGGCTGTGGGCACCGACCGCTGCTCGCTTCTCTTCGGGCTGTGTGGCGGCCATGGCAACACTCAGCCGGGAAGAAGGCTCCTTCCGATCCCTTGGTGCCTTCCAGGAGAAGAGGGCATAGCAGCGCTAAGAGCGCAGGTTAGGCTACAGTGCAGCGGACCACCGACGCGTCTGAAGGCTTCGCCGCTTCGCTCCCTGGAGCCACAAGTGGTCAGTCACTGGGAGACTCGGAAGGCCCTTCAGGCTCTGTCTAGAAGGCGTTGCACGTTGCAGGATTATTTCTTTCTGTTCAAGGCGGCTTGTCAGGTTCAAGCTAAGCACCGAGAGCTCAAGAGGCACTGTCGGCTGCGTAAACGCGAGCAGCTGCTATCCTGCCTTGCTGAAGGTGACTCCAGGGCCTTCTTTGGATTTGTTCGAGTTGCTGCTCCCAAGCCGTATCTTCCCAGGATCAAGCTGAGAGGTCGAGACGGTCAACTTTTGACACAGCAGCAGGAGGGCCAGATGTTGCTTGATCACGTTAAAACGATTTTCTCTGGGCCAATGGGTGGCGTTCCGGAACTTATGCCTGTGTCAGAGGATTTCCTTTCTGTGCACCGCTGGGAGGAAGCACTGCATGAGATCAGGCCTAGGAAGGCTGTGCCGCGGGGAGAGGCTCAGATAGAGAGCTGGAAGCAGCAGGTCTCAGCGTAGGCCATGGATCCCTCGGCTATGGTGTCAGATTCAGATTGCTTGGCTTCCTAAGCCCAACAAGTCACCGTGCAGTCCGGAGCATCTCCGTACAGTCGGGCTAGTGTCAGGAGACTCCAAAGCTTTCATGGCCCTGCTCAAGAATGCGGCTCGGGATGTGGTGATGAGGTACATGCTGTCCTATCCTCAGTTTGCGTACAGATCCGGGGCTTCTACTTTGGATGCCTACTGCGGGTTACAGCGCACTGCAGCTCAGTACGTAGTCAACTTGAGCGGATTAGCAACAGCAAGACTTCCAGACTACTGGGCGAGAAGATTCCATTGCTTAAAGGGGGGCTAATGGTGGCCATTGATCTCAAGAAAGCTTTCGACAACGTCACCTATCAGGAGATGTATATGGCTCTCCGAGAGACTGGACTTGACGAGGCCCTGGTCAGACTGATCGTGCATGTGCACATGGCTACTAGATGTTCGGTTGTGTGTGGCTTGTTTGAGGGGTCCAGTGGTATGTCCAAAGGCCTCAGGCAAGGCTGTCCAATTGCACCGCTAGTTTATCTGGCATGGTCCATCAGGTTTCTGCGGATTGTCAATCTTCGGTTGTCGGAGAGGTGGGATCAGCAGCACGCCACTGTCTATGCTGATGATAAACACCTTGCGTGGGAGATTGAGAGTGTTGAGTCATTGGACAGGGCTGTCAAAGAGCTTGGAGTGGTCATGAGCGTGCTTGGAGAACTTGGCATGGAAATCAGCTTTGGCAAGTGTGAGGCGGTGCTATCGCTGAAGGGCCTCAAACAACAGCAGGCCACGAAGAAGTACGTGAAGTTGCGCCATGGAGTTCCGCATCTGGTTGTCCGAACAGATAAGGAGGTTCTCATCCCCATCAAGAAGGAGATAGCCTACCTTGGAGTTCTGGTTTCGTATGGCTCGTTTGAGTTCATCACTGTGCAGCATCGCTGCAGACAGTCTTGGTTGAGTTTCAAGTCTCTTGGAAGAGCATTAAGAACCAACGGTGTGCTTTCCTTGTTAGAGAGGATGCGCATTTATGTAGCTTGCGTGTGGCCAGTGGTTGAATACGGGCTAATCGGAGTGGGCGTGGACGGTCGTGGACTTCGGCTGATTGAAAGCACAGTGGCTCAGCAGCTGCGCAAGGTTTTGCGAATTCACGAACGAGGAGTTTCCAACCAGCAGGTTTTCGAGAGAGCCGGGTTAGAGCCTCGGAATATTCTGCATGCGCGTTTGGCAGCCCAAGCACAGCGCGTCATGGAAGCCGAGCCGCAGTCTGTTGTTTCGAGACAACGTATGAGGGCAGTGCAAATTCAGGAGTTCTTTCAGCGCACAGTTGATTGCAGCGGCAGTACACTTACACCAGTATCTGCGGCAAGTGGTTGTCCTTGTCCTGTCTGCGGTCTTTACTTTGATTGCGAGGCTGGAGTTGCGCTACATCTTCAACGGAGGCATGCCGAGGTGCACATGAGCTCCAAAATTTCCTTTGACAGAGCCAAACATACGGTTGACGGACTCCCAAAGTGCGTCTTCTGCCTGACCTTGCTTGGGGACATGCAGGCGATGGAGAAGCATCTCGCGGCGGGCGGATGTTCCGTTGTCAAGCAGGCTGTTGCGGAAGGACAAGACTTGGAGCAGCTTCGGACACGATTGTGCGCTGCCAGGCAACAGGCTCCTTCAGGGACCTCAATGGCTTCCTCTGGCACTGGCCTTGGCGTACATGATTTGGATTCCTTATCTTTTCTGGACCAACCATCGCATATAATTGTTCGTGAGCATGCTTCCGATATTCTGTCCAGGTCGCCATGTTGTTTGCTATGTGGTCAGCGCGTGCTGGATGTTCGCAGAATCAAGACCCACTGGCAGGCGACACACAAAGCGGAGTGGGCTGCGCACTCGGCCAATGCCGGACAGCTTTGTCGTACACTGTCAAAAGCAGTACAAAGGCCGTGTCAGTTCTGCAACAGCAATGCCAAAGACCCTTGTGCGCACGCCCCTCAGTGCGTGATGCTTTTTCAGGCTATGTTGATGAAGGGTGTCCGGGAACGAATTGGAGCTGCATCACCCCAGGGCAAGACGCCACCCAGACCAACGCTGCCGAGAAGGAGCGAGCAGGTTGCGCAGTACAAGAGCTTTTCTCTCAAAAACACACCCCTCGGTCAGGCGTTCAGCAGGAGCGCAGCCGCTTCGGCTATCAGTGCAGAACACCAGGCAGGGCCAGCTGTTTCGGAGATGGACCGTGGCAGGGAAGTGGGCTCATTGAGCACGACAGCACTCAAGCCTTCGAGACAAAGCAGATGTCCTTCTTTGGCTCTCGCGCGATTCCGTCTGAAGGTGTCGGGGAGGCGGAAGCCTTGTGGACATTGATTGCGGCTCAGGCTGAGCAATCCCCACTCTCTTTGCTATTTGAATGCTGGGGTTCTGTCCATGGTACACTGCTTGGAGGTTATGGGTTCCTCGGAGTACTCGGCCTTGGTGCAAATGTGCAGGCAGGCTCAGAGCGCAAATCGACTTTTTTCTCTCAGCCAACAGTTGGTGGTCAGGTCTCTCTTTTCTGGCTGGAGATTCTCTCCTGTTCAAAGAGACTGTGCGGAGCTCATTACTTTAGCGGTTGCTCAAAGAAGTGGCTTCTGGTCGGAGTGGGAGCAGTTCAATTCGGCTGGGGCGATCAGTGATACTGGAGCTTGTCCACTTTTCATTGAGCTGCCTGGGGACGGAGAGTTCCTACTGCAGGATCTTGTGGATAGATGGAGCCGCCGTGACGCTGGCAGGTATCTCACTACGTGTGGACCCCTACTGCTGCAGTTGGGTCGTAGCACTGAGTACGGCAAGAATACATGCGGAGTTGCATTTGACTCTCCTGTTCTTTTCCCTGTGCTTGGCGAAGCTGGCGTTATGCCCAGATCCTACTCTGCTGTCTCAGGTGTGGTACATGTTGGAGAGCGCGTTACGTCTGGGCATTACCGGGCCATACTGCTGCAGGGATCTCAGTGGTACTTTGCAGATGACGCCACACATGCGATACGCACTTCCATGAGCCCGCAAATCAAATCCAATGTTTACATGATTTGGCTCCAGCCAACGACTGATGCTGCTCCTGGTGGCTCCTTGCAATGACCGAAGCAGTGCAGGAGCAGGAGATGGCCTTCTGGGATATGTGGCAGAAATCTCAGCGTTCCAGCATGGACACTGAAGGCTCTACTGCCGCGGGCACGGAGGCACCGAACCAGGAGGATGGGGCGTCGCAGCACCCAGATGCAACTCCGTCGAAGTACGCCAAGCCCGCCTCGAAGGGTGCTGGACACAACAGCGGACGTGGCAAGGGCAAACGCTCCACTGACAAGGATGGTGGATCGAACCAGACCTGGCGTGACAAGTCTTCTTGGAGCTGGCAGGGATCTGGCGGTTCATCTGGTGGCCGCATTCAGGCTCTCGAGAACCAGGTGCAATGCCTCACCAGACTGGCCTTGCGCCATGAGGATGCTCTGGGGCTGCTACGCAGCGAGTTTTCCTTTGTCATCCATGCCAAGGTGAGCACTCCGACTTCGGTTGTCCGCACGCTGTTTACGATGCAGCAAGAGTGGAGAATGCTTCGTGAAAAGGACCCGTCCAAACTCACCGGACCCCTTCGCGTAGCGCTTCTTGGCTGTCTCTTTCGTGAACTTCAGTGCCGCATGGAGCAGTTACTTCAGGACGAGAAAATGCGGCAGACATGGATCGATATGGAGTGGCTCTCCCAGGATGCTGGATTCTTTCCGTACTTAAAGTACAATCAGGAGACGAAGCGGCATGAGCCTGAAAAAATGCGACCAGGTCTTCCTACTCCTGTGCTCAGGGAGCATATCAGTGAGGTTGTGAAGAACATTCCAGCCCAGGGTGCTTTGGCGAGGTATCACCCTTTGCGGCCGCTAACAGAAACGATGGCTGGGGAGTCACTGGTTTTTCTTCTCCAAACGGGGATTGGATCTGATGCTGCCCAGAGTCTAAGCCTCCACCTTCGGACGCTGATTGGGCGCAGCGTCACACAACTTTGTTCTTTCTCCACACAGGCAGATAAGATACAGCGTTCTGGCCTGGCCATGCAGATTTCTAAGAGCCTGCAGTAGTCGCATATGCATAGTCGGAGCAGTTTTTGCGTGCGGGCGATGAGTGTTTTTTGGTGGAGCTGAAGAAGCGAAGCCGAGCGCCTGTTTTGAAGAGGTGGTCTTTCCGAAGCGAACTGGACCTCCTGTTGCAGCAATGGGCTGCCTGCATGGTGAATTGATTTTCTTGCCGTGGTCTTGAAAATTTATGGCTGGAGCAGGGCTGCATTCTTTCTGAGCCTGAGTAGTGCGGTGTTGTCATGCCCAGCTGTGAGGTCAAGATTCCTGGAGTATGCCGTTGGACGGGACCATGTGCGCCCATTAGACGCTGAGCAAATGGTGCAGCTGTGCTGTCTGATGTTTTTGTGCTTTGCCTGGCCATTGCAAGCTGGTGTGTTCCTGCAGCTACAAGGATTTCGGCGAGAGCATCACAATTGGCTTGAGCATGTTCATGGCACCTTCTTGAGACAGATTTTTGCAGCACAATGGCATTTTCAGTGGGCTTCGGTATCCTGTGACATGGCATGGCCTCATAGGCACTTCATACTAAAGTTGCTGGGTAATGGATGAGGATGAACTGCGCTCCCTGCGTGGCTGCTTGAACTGCCGTCCATCTTGGGAGTAGCCGCACCTGGCGCAGAAGTTCTTGATGAGGATGACTCCGTTTCCTTTGACTTTGAGTACGATTCTTCGGAGGAGGCTCGGTGTGAGCAGGAAGCGATTGCTGAGGACTCGGACCATGAGCGGCTCATGGCCAGCTCCACAGACACAGAGAGTTGCTCTGCGCCTTCTTCTCCCATGAATTATGAGATACTCTGGCCACATCTAAGTCCTCAGATTTGCTACAACACGCTCATGCCTCCTAGTGTTGACCTCGACTGCTTTCAACCTCGGACCAGGCTGGAGGCCGACGCCAAGAAAGCCCTTTCACAAGGCATGGTGCTTGGAGAAATCCTTGCCAGGCTGACTGAGGAGCTGCCTTCATCTTTGCGTGCTGTACATGGGGATCCCCCTTTTGGGTCCAGACTTCTTCCTAGGGCGTTCAATGCAGGGGCTTACATCCATGGCCCGCACTCGGGACTCCATGGTACAACGATGGAGTATGAGATTCCTGTTCTGTTGCTCACTTCGGTGGTTAGAGGCATGCGACCGAATTTTACGTTTTCAACGGTATCTCTGCTTAGGAATGTGAGGGCCGCCCTGCATCGTGACAGTCATAACCATGCCGCCGCTTCTGACTTGGTTCTTCCGTTAACGCAGTTCACTGGTGGGGAAGTCTTCGTGGAAGACAGCTCTGGGACCTCCATACAGGGCAATCCGCCAATCGCCGGAATGGTTTTCCCCCTCTTATGCGATCAAGAGCCCACGCCAGTTGAGTTCAATCCACGATTGCTACATTGTACCCTACCTTGGGTGGCGAGAGGGTTATCCTGGTGGCATTCCACATCCGGAACCCTGAAATGTTGCCGTCACAAGCCGCGGAACAGCGGATCAAGATGGGCTTTTCACTGCGGAAAAAGTGATCTTTGGCAAAAGGAGCTGCTTTTAAGAATGGTATATGTATGCTTGCGGCAGTGACTTTTGGTGTTTTTTCCTGGGCAAGTCTGTGGATGGCGCAGTGCAAGACAGGTACTCTCAATGAAGACTCGCGGCGGAGCCTTTTTCTTGCAGAAGTTTTTCCCTTGTATATAGCTTGGTCTACGGCCATAACTAGTTTCGGTGTGGAAGTGCTGCCGGACGCGGGGCATTCCATATGCTGTCGGCCTGGTGTGGTACGGGCGCCGAAGCTTAGTTTATTAGACATTGAGGACGCTCGTGTCTATGTCGTGACGGGACCTCGTATGTACAAATCAGCTCGTAGATAGATGCCACTTTTCATTGTTTTACGAAGTTTTTGGATCTCCTTGATTTTGCTAATGACACATACTCTGGTGCTGAATTCCTGCGGGACGGCCAGGGCTGCAGTGCTTTGCCATTCGTGGCGGCTGCATTTTACTTGACTTACCGACCATAGGTCAGTGAGACACTTTTGGTTTTCTGTCTAGTTAGGATCAGGTTCTTTGCCTGCCGCACGGGCGGGCGATGCCGGGAGCATCCGTCATTATGACGCCGCTCGCGTGGAGACTTTGGACTCTAGCGCATTGGAAGGAAGTAGTGGTAGTAGTGGTAGGCGCCCCCCCCTTCACCAACTATGTTTCCCAGATGCGTATGTTGAAACCAGGTACAAGCTGAGGAGATACTGGTTTTCTTGGAATGCCAAAAATCTTGTACTTTCGTAATACGGCTTGTACTTTCGTAATGCGTTGGGGTGGATGCCGGGAGGGGGGTTGGGGCGGGGGTAGGGTGGGGAGGGGAAAGGGGGTGGGTCGGGGCATAGTCACGTCAATTTGAAGAGCGCACGTGCAAAAAATGTGGGCATTGACAGTATGTTTGATGATTTTGCGTGGGTGAGGCAGGTTCCACACGAACCCGCTTCCGCTTGGGCTCTTGACAGTCATGCCTGACATTTAAGGGAACATAGTTG